TACTCCCTACCCCACCCACCTCCCTATTTTCTGCATATAAACTGACATTTTCCCAGCCACTATCAGTTCTGAGGAAGGGTCACCAACCCAAAACGTTAACTCTGTTTTTTCCTTCACAGATGCTACCAGACCTGCTGAGCTTTTCCAACAACTTTGTTTTTGTTCCTGATTTACAGCAACCGCAGTTCTTTCGGTTTTTACAAGTATAGAGTCGCCTGCTACTTTTATGGCTTTCCTTACTCTGCTTGTCTTTGGTTAACAATGACTTATCTCGGATTTATTAGGATGAACTTTTCAGGTATACATTTAATCATTTTTATTTTTAATCAAAACAATCAGTTGTCCTCGTCATGGAGAGACTTTTTAAATCAAACTTTTATTTACGTTCACTGATGTAGCACTAAGTTTTGGGTTACAATTTTTAAGGTGTTAATAAAATTGCTACAATGAGTTATCTAAATTTTATGACTATCAAAGGCTAATTTGGTGACTGGTTTGCAAGGATCTCCAGGTGCTGAATAGCCCCAGATTTTAGTTATAGAGTCTTGCAGCACAGAAACAGACCCTGTTAAGCACCATGGGTCTGGGTGCTTAAAGAAAATTTAAACCAGTTACTTTACTGTCAGCAAACACTCATCATCAACAGGGAATTGACTTGAAATCCAATTTTACATTGCCCTTAACATATTAATTCCCGTTTATGATTTAATCAGTGAAAGTTTCACAGAAACATCCAAGTCTACATAAAGTATTTGTCTGTTTAGTGAAGGTGAAATCCAAACATTACTGCAAGTTTACTTTCACAGTACTGGTAGGGACCAGAAGGTCAAACAGAAATTGCAGATTTAGTTCTGCCATTCAGATACCCTTTGCACAAAGATTGATCGAAAATATTTGGAATTCTATGTAAAGTTATGGAAGCAAAATGTTTATGCTTTAGTAGCATAGTTGAGTGCCTTAACAGTGATGCTGCATGTTATTCTAGAGGAAGCAGCTCAAATAAAATGAGTAGCTTTTCTCATCTATATTTATCTTTTGGCCATGTGAGAAGGCTGAGTAATTTTGTATGCTAACAATAGCTCCCATGTTTTTGTGGAAACAGGTTATGATTCACATATATATTAAGTTTTTAATTTTCAAACATAATATTGTAGAAGGTGGAACTGAATGGAGATCATGTACATCAGGTTGGGGAAGCAGGGAAATTAGAGAAGTTTGTGGTCTCTCGCGTGTACCCACAAATGTGATGCAAGAAGGGACACAGTGCAGGCCACTTTCTCACTTAGTGGATGATAGTACTTAAGCAAGAAGAAAAATAAAAATATAAAAAAGTGTAAAAGAAAACTGCCTTGATTTAAAAAGGGACCAAAAGTGCTGAATTCCAGAAGTGAAGTTAGAGTGACAGTCCTTGAAATTAAGGCCACATTTGACCATGTGTGACATCAAGGAGCCCTGAGCAAAACTGATGTCAATAGGAATCAGGGTTGGAGTCATACCTTGTACATAGAAAGATGGCTGTAGTTAACGTAGGTCATCAGGGTAGTGTCCTAGACCCAACCATCTTCTGCTGCTTCATTATTGTCCTTGCCTCCATCATAAAGTTGGAAATGAGGATGTTCGCCAATGATTTCACAATGTAAACAAAGCACAAGTCAGGAGTGTGATGGAATATTTACCATTGCCTGGGTGGCTGTAGTTCCAACAAGCCCTCAAGAAGCTTGACACTATCCAGGACTAAGCAGCCTACTTGATAGACACCACATCCACAATCATCTACCCCCAGTATCACCGACATTCAGTAGCAGCAATGTGTATTAGTTAAAAGATACACTGCAAAAATTCACCAACAATCCTGAGAAAGCACCTTCCAAACCAATGACCACTTCCATCTAGAAGGACAAGGGCAGTAGATACATGGAACACCACCCTCTGCAACTTCCCTTCCAAGCCACTCACTATCCTGACTTGCAAATATATCACCACTCCTTCACTATCGCTGGGTCCAAATCCTGGAATTCCCTCCCTAACAATATTATGGGTTTACCTAAAGCACATGGACTGCAGTGGTTCAAGAAAGCAGCTCACCATCACTTTCTCAAGAGCAATAGAGACTAGCAATAAACACACATGTCCCATGAGAGAGAAAAAAAGTTTCCAAACAGTACTCAGTATGTACGTGCTCCTCAATAGCCCGAGGGTGTGTGAAAATCACCTTTATATGCCTGTCTGCTGGCTCTAACAAGTTTAAAATATTTCACTTGCACTACTAGCACACACATGTTTAAAACATTTCTATGCTGTTAGACTGTTCACTAACTGCATGAGTCATTTAGTTTAGATGGACCAGTGCCTCCACTAAAAATGCAGTAGCATGTCCAACAAATATGTTTAGTAGCTGTCACAAACAGTGACTTCTGTGTCATATCACCATCATGAACATGCACTGATCTTCAATATGATCTACTGCATGTTGTAAACATTGCTTAGTTAATAACTTTGGGGTCAATGGCACTAAATTAACAGGAGAAACATGGGTTATGTATTTAATGTGAAGTCAATGACCGCCTGAACAATGATCTCTAATCCTCTGTGCAAAAGAAGTTGTGAGATAACACAACCAATTATCCATCACTTGCCATCTGCTCATTTCATGTAAATATTACTGTAACCAAGTGTGTAAGAAAGAAGCCTCTTTGCATGACGACTTAAATTTTCAGATGTAACCATTTTCCTGTCAAAAGCAATTAGAACTATTGTATATTTCCATTAGAGATGACAAAAGTTCCTTAAACGTGCTAAGAATTGATATAGCACCTTTCACTTCCCTTCAAAAATCAGAAGTGCTTATTTTTTATTGAATTACTGTTTGTTATGAAAATACAAAAGCGAAAAAACACACTGCAGTCTTGCAAACAGCAGTAAGATCAATGACCAGATGATAAGTATTTTGCCATGTTGGTCAAGCAAAAATAATGCCCAGGGAACCATAAAAATACATCTGCTTGTATTCAAATAATGCCATGGGATCATTTATGTCCACCTCAGTAGGAATACAGGACATTGGTTTATTGTCTCATCCAAATTAGAATACCTGTTCCAGTGCAGCGCACACTTAGTTCTGCGTGGCTGTGACAGATAATATCGTGCATACATGTTTCACTGCACTTCTGACCAACAACTTTCCATCTCACAGAGGGGAGACAGCTACCACTAAGTTCGGAGTAATTTTCAGCCAACCTTTCATGAAGAAAGGGAGCATACAGGTGATATTACAGCTTATGTAGTGTAAGGGACAAGTACTTTCCCTTTGTGAACCATAAGGTCGACATTGCTATATGTTTAACAGACCAATACCTATATTAGTCAGGAAAAAGATTTTCAGAGATTTACAAGGATTTTCTTTTTTGTTAATTTGTTGTCTAGCATAAACACCAGTTTTCACCTTTTTCTTCCCAGCAACCCATCCTTCCACTGAGGAAGAACCCAATTCCTTTTAAAAAGGAAAATCAAGCTGTTCAGACATGCTAGGACACACCTCTGGAGCAGGGGTAGGACTTAACCCAGGCCTTCTATCTCAGAGCTAGGGACACTACCACTGTACCCTAAGCACTCGCTTAATTATTATTTTCTAATCAACCTGTTAAGGGATGTGATGACACAGCTCTAGAACTGATGTTTTCTTTTTGTTTTTTCAATGCCCCTCTGACCTTTTTTAAAACAACCACCAAATCATATGCATAACTTTTCTTTTACTCTTTTATCCACCACCAAGTCACTCGTAGTTAAAATAAAATGAAAACTTTACAAGCACTGCCCATCGGTGGCAGTACAACAACAACACAAGTGAGGAAAAGCAGGGAGAAAGGGATGGAATGAAATTCAAATGGAGTTGGATTAGGATGCAGCAAGCATTTTTCTTATTTCTAAAGGACACTTGTGAACCAGATGGATTTTTAGAATAATCAACATGGTTACAGTATCACCATTAGGTCAGCTCTTTGTTCTAGATTTTATTGAAGTTAAATTTCATGTTTTGCCACAGCAGGACATGAACCCAAGTCCCTAGAGCATTAGCTTGGGGTTCTGGGTTACTGGACCAGTGACATTACCGCAATGCCACCACCTCCCATAAAATTTCCCAGAGGCTGAATTTTGCATGTATCATTCGGAAGCAGACACATTGCATTCCAGTGGATACTGTGCTACAATGGATGCTTACTAATCAACGTGTTCAGAGTTGTTTTTACATACCTTTCAGAGCAGATGGGATTTGAACAGGCCTTCTGGCTCCGAAGTAGGGACACTACCACTGCAACACAATAACCACCACTCTTAATATTTCCTATTCCCATCTCCCTGCTATCGGAAAGATGTTGTGAAACTTGAAAGGGTTCAGAAACGATTTACAAGGATGTTGCCAGTGTTATAGGGTTTGAATTATAGGGAGAGGCTGAATAGATTGGGGCTATTATCCCTGGAGCATCGGAGGCTGACAGGTGACCTTATAGAGGCTTACAAGATCATGAGAAGCATGCATAGGGCAAATAGACAAGGTCTTTTCCCCGAGGTGGGGGAGTCCAAAACTAGAGGGCACGGTTTAAGGTCAGAGGGTAAAGATTCAACAGGGACCTGAGGGGCAACATTTTTATACAGAGGGTGGTGCCTGTATGGAATGGTCTGCCAGAGAAAGTGGAGGAGGCTGGTACAAATATGGCATTTAAAAGGCCTCTGGATGGGACTAGATTTATTTAGGATATCTGGTCCGCATGGACGAGTTGGACCAAAGGGTCTGTTTCTGTAATGTATATCTTTAAGACTCTAAGCAAACTGTGCAGTGATGTTATGACACATCTCTGAAGCAGATGTTTTATTTGTTCTTTTCTATGCACCTCTGAATGTTTGAATTGAACTGTAATTCCTATGTGCAGGGCAAGAACAGCATAGTCTTTTGACTAATCAGAGTGATGAATCCTTACTGAAACACTCAGAACAAGGAGAAGTTTGTTCGCATAGCACCACCTTCTGTGGTAGCAAGCAGACTTATCTTTATTTTCTCAGATTACTAGCTGTGCAATCACACTATACATGGCACTAAGGTCATTCAAAAATGCTGTGTGGGTTACACAAGTAGCAACACATAGATTTGCATATACCCGAGGAATCAAGTTAAACCTGCAGAGAGCTATTGCAGACAGCACCAGGCAAACAAGTTTTTCTCCCATGCAGTATAAATCAGCAGGTGTAAATCGGGATTTATATAGATATGGAATGTGGAATAAAACTTGGGGATAAAAAACAAATGGGATTAATGGAGAGAGATAAAAGAGAAATACAGAAAATGCAAATAAAATTATTCAAAGTTTGTTTACAAATCTCCAACATAATTAATTTCTGATGGATCAAGACTCCACACTTGCATGATATAATTTTCAGGGTGAGAGAGAATGTTTGTTAGTTAATTGTTAATTATCACTGGTCATACCACTAAAATATTTAATCAATGCACCTTAACATTTTCTGATATCTATAATAGGGACCTAATGGGCAAATATTCTGAAGTTACACCGTAACAGTGATTTCAGTGGAAGTTCCATCGGTGAGGACTGATATTCTAAACAGCACAATATGGACTTTCATGTCAAACAGCAACTATGTGGTGTCAAAACCTGCTGTTGTTTTCCTCCATTATAATGGTGAGTATGATTATCTGCAGAAAAAACATACGTGTGTTTTGCAAGTTTAAAATATAACCTCATCTAGGAGTTACATGACCTGTAATGCAAACCATTAGTAAAATGCACTTACTGGATAGATTTATGTTGTAATCTTGTCCAATTATTGCAAAATTCTGATTATAATGCAGCTGGATTGTTGTCAAGAACAAATTTGCAGATCTGATTGATGCAGAAAAACAAAAATATTTTAACCAACGTGCAAGAAAACTATTTGAATCAGTCCCAGCTATTATTATAACATTATGTTTACTCATATTATTCAGTCATTTATGTCATATTGTTTTTGGCTTTGTGATTTAATCCAGTTGTGGAGAAGATGGGATGAGCATAGGTCACTATCTGGCTTGCCACATAAAGTGAGACTTCTCTGAGAACTTGACCTCAGTGGTTCTTTTGGCACATGAAGTCAGTTTATGAGAAACACAATCCACGTTGGAATTGGACACTGTCCTGACTTGAAACCTTACCCTTCGTCTCTGATCTCATAATCATTCCCTTTCTCTAAGTAACATTTCCAAGAAGCGTATAATTTAGCATTTGAGGAAAAACAGAAAGTGTTTTTCTTTCTTTGTAATAAAATTTCTCAGTTTGCATTATGAAAATATAAAGTATACAGAAGAACAAACTGAAAAATTTGCTGCACACGTATTTAAGAAAACATTGCTGATTTTAATTGCTGAGTTGTAGAATGACATTTGACTGGGTCTTAGAAGCAAAATAAAATGTTTTATTTTGGTCAGTGATCCTCATTGCAAATAATGAATATCCAATAGGATAGTGTTTGTTTTAAAGGAAGGATTTAAGGAAGAAAACAGAATGGGTGGTAGGATTACTAAAGAGTAATCACAAAAACAAAAACTCACTAAACCAATAACCCGATGGTGCAGTTTGGGTTATATAATAAACAGTAATAGCAAAACAAATTGTCCAGTCAGTACAAAGTATGTATGAACGTCAGCAATTCTATTGCGTATCTGGTACTTCAATCTTTGATTTGGAGGGTTTTGCCACATTGTACTGAATTATGGTGCTGAATTATGGAATAATGTATTAATTAGGAAGCCAATCAATGGGTCAGAATTGTGTTAAGAACTATGGAAACAAAGCACTCGTGATTTTCAACTATCACCTGGACTTGTGTTTCAACAACCATTTTAAAAGAATCTCCTGTTATCTTCTTATTTGAAAAAAGTAGAGTTTTGGTATTAAAAGAGACTTACATTCCTAACCTCCTCATTTTGACATTGGTTTACACAAAACATTCTCCATGTTTTAACATGAGGTGACATTAAATTAAAAGGCAATTTGCATTTATACAGCAGCTTAACATGGTAAAATATCGTAAGATGCTTCACAGGAGGTTTATCAACACTTCCCAGACCAGAGTACACAGGCCCAGGTCCCTGGCCCGACTGAACACCAGTTCCACATATCCGACTCTCCATCCACCCATCCACCCTACTCCCCTCTTACACTTGCTGCCCCAACACTTTACCCACCTATCATCCTACCTCAACAATTAATATTGTACACTTAACCTTTTCTCAGCAATTGTGAAAGATACATAACTTAAATGCCAGGATGATTCTACAATGATTTTCTCTGTTACTGGTTCTGAGCATTCCTAAATTGGTGTCTGCTGATTCATAACAGAAGGCTCGTGTCCAGGAAATTTGAGAGCAGAACTGATCCAAATGTATTTTTTTGTCCAATTCAGGCAGAAATAAAGAGGGAGGGAGGTTTAAGAAGGGAATTTCAGGGCCAGGGATCCAGCAGCTGAAGCATATAGAGGTGCAATCAAAGTTGGAGGGTGCATTAAATGTCGAAAATTAGAGTATAGATGTCTAAGAGGATTGTAAATGTGAGGAAAGTTAGAGAGCAAGAACAGTGAAGCCATGAAGTGATTTGAAAACAAGGATTTTTTTTCCTTTATTCATTCACAGGATGAGGGCGTCGCTGGCTAGGCAACATTTATTCCCCATTCCTAATTGACCAGAGGGCAGTTGAAAGTCAACCACATTGCTGTGGGTCTGGGGTCACATGTAGACCAGACCAGGTAAGGATGACAGTTTCCTTCCCTAAAGGACATTAGTGAACCAGATGGGTTTTTCCAACAATCGGTTCACAGTCATCATTAGATCCTTAATTCCAGATGTTTTATTGAATTCAAATTCCACCATCTGCCATGACGGGATTTGAATCTGGGTCTCTGGATTAATATCCAGTGATAACACCACTAGGCCATCGCCTCCCCAGAATGCCAAATTTTAAACAAAAGCATTATTTAACTTGGAGCTAGAATGTCAGCCCAAAACACGGTGATGACACATGAACAGAGGTTGGTGTGAAATAAGAAATGGATAGCTGGATTTTGGATCAGCTTAAGAATGTGGTGGATGGAAGGTGAAAAGCTTGCCAGGACAACATTTGAATAGCCAAATCTAGCAATAACAAAGGTATGGATGAAGGTTTCCAATCACAGATGAGTTACAACAGTAGCAGTGCTGTGCAGTGGTGCTGAGATGGGAATAGGCTACCTCTGTAATGGTGCTGATATGTTAAAAATTCCTAGTGTACTCCAGAATTTTTGAAAGGTCACGTGTCGTTGATGACCAGGAAATTCAACATCCAATATGTTTCCAATATCAAGGAGTACTATTATCTGTTGAGACACTTAACCACAATTCTGAATGCATAAGAACACAATGACATTATCAATCACATGGAGATATTAGTGACTGGCCAGACACATCAGGTGGTTAAAAATACACAGGTAGGTCTTCTGTAACGCAATAGTTGCATTCTTGCGTGACCTCGCACCATAGAAAATCGCTATACCTATACAGCAGAAAGTTTGCATTATCCAAATAGCGTCCACAATTCATCAATCGTGTTACAACCAATTTGTGTTAAGGAAACATGCAGTATAGCAGAACTACCTGTGCTTTCAGTTTGCTTTTAGGGCATTATATGAATGAAAATACATAAAATGCTTTGTCAAAGCTTGGACTTATATCAAACATCCATGCTGTCATGAATATAGCTGTGCTGGCAATTTACCCTGTCTATGACCCCATCAAAAATATAACATTGTTTGATTTGAACATTTTAAGATTTATACAGAAGAGTTGCAATTCTTAAAATCAATTATGCCAAAAAAATTGAAGAATGGAAATGTAACACTTTTTTACTTTTTCATAAATTTAACATGCATAATGTGTAAAAAAAAAATTAATGCTTTTGACATCAACATTTCCAATACTAGTTTTAAGATTGCTGAAAATATAAAAAAGTTTTATAGACAAGCTGCAATTTTTGTGACTGAGATTTAATTGCTCCAGGCAATAAATACTATCGACTTAGATATACATTTTTGTTTCTGGAGCGTTTGAAATAAATAAATGCATTAAGAATAATATAGCCAGTTCCAGAAATTAGATGCACAAGTAAGAAAACATCTGTTCCACTGCATTTAGGGGTCAGAGGTGCAGTAACTCCTAATAATCTAAATTTATTGCTCACTGAACAAAAGGTCACAGTGAAATATTTTCTTTGATTAAACAGTTCAATATGTAATATGTGAATATATAAGTCACAAGTGCTCTCAATCTATGTGTTTCCTTCAGTATTTACAGACATGCTTGTTAAAATTTAGAAAAATATGAAACTTTATTACTTTTTTTTCCAAGCAAATTAGATGTATTTTCACCCATTGATTCCATTGTCTCATTTCCCCAACAGTTTTCTTGCTGCAGCCTGCTTGGCCTATGCACATCTTCAAAGAGGCAATTAAGTGGTGTGTTCTTGGGCCTTCACCTGAGATCAACAAGTGGAACAAATGTCCCACTATTCCTCAAAATCGTTTTTGGTGCTTAGGTATTCTACAGTATTTCTATGCCACTCTATTTCTGTGATTGCCTTTAACATTTACATGCCTACATGTGAATCCAGACCAACTGATGTGATTGACGCTTACAAGCCCTCTGGACAATAGTGGATGGGCAAAAAATGCTGGCCCAGCCAGCGATGCCCACACCTATTAATGAAAAAAAAAAGTGCCATTAATGTTTTCATTTTAATATTGGCCATTTTTCTAAGATTACTTAGTTATCATCAGCCACTTTCTTTATGATCTGGAAAAATAGATCAAAGACGTGATACTACACAATGTCAAATTTTTAGGTCTTTGTCATTTGATTAACTCATAGAAGAGTTTTGAAGCTGCTATTTGTCTAAATTAAGGGAGTTAAGGAAAATTTCAAAGTTAGAAAAAGGCAGGAAAAAGTAGAAAGTATAATTTGTGCAAAAATTATAAAAGTACAATCATAATACAGGGAATAAGAATAAAGAAAATTAGAACAGTAAGTGATCACAGACAGAGAATTTTTAAGTTATTTTTATGCATTTATGTTGGCAATTTAGGACCAATCTTGCATTAGAAAAATTCTGAATCCAATGAACAGCATCTATCTGTCTCAGGAGACAAAGGACTATGTGCAGGATTTATGCCACTTCTGTCTGAACATCGTCCCTTCTGTAGGTGACACGGATGAATAGAGCTGGCCTGAGGTTAAAAGATGGTCATTTCTTCTGGCGGACTCTGTTTTCCTCCATCCGGTCATCACTTTTTCCATGTCTTTATGATTGTTTGGCTCTAGGCACCCCAGTCAACAGCAAGGGCTTCCCATTCATAAACTCTGACAGCAGTCATGTTGATGCCTTGCTTATTGATATCTTCTAATCTCTTTCTGTCACACAGTTGCCAAAACAGAGACTGTTTCCCACAAATCCTGACACAAAAATAACGCTAAAGGAGCCAAAAGGATTTTAATGATTAAATTGAACATGTCATCTTCAATGGTGGTGGTTGTTTATGATTTCATCCTGAAATGAGTTTTTAAAATGTCGAAGTTATTTTAAAAGTATATAACTAGTAGGAAGTCAATCTATTTATTTCAGTTCTTGGCTTTTCAAATCCCAAGCCATTGCTTGGAAGTGTTACGAACATCATGAATGCTCCAGAATGTCACGTGGCTAAGAAACAGGACAAGTTTGACAGTGTTTCACCCCACGCTTCCACCTGGGTACATCGGGGCAAGTTTGACTTCAGGGTACAGTGGGTGGCAAGTACAAAGTGTTTAGATATTTTATCAATAATTTGGAGGCCAACTTACACACAAGATATATGAAAAGTAAATGCTGTTTTGGTCAAAGGTTGGGGGTCATCTTTTACATGTGATCAAACATTATTCAAGAGCGTAGAGTAACGTTAGCTGGATGTATCATTTTCTATTCAAATTAAATAACAAGGTGTCAGTGTGGTCATGGTGTTACCATAGTGATTTCCCAGTTTGAAATGTAACTTCTGTTATCTCATATACACAGGAAGTCAGTCCTGGCAGGTTATGAGAACTGTGTAGGCAAGATAGAAGGTTATCTGTCAATCATTACCAAAAATACATGATCTAATGCATACTTGTCATTTCTATTTAAAGATATCACATAATTGTATAAATTGTTTACCCACCATCCTTTCCTAAAAGTACTGGGTAGTGATCGATAGATGGTATTACTTTCTTATTATCCTAAGTAGCCATTCTTCCTGTATGAGGAAAACAGATGGTATTAGTTAATTAATTGAGGCATGATAGCTCAACATATATTTCAATTTCTACACATGTATTTACCAGGTATTAGACCACAGTTGCGAACAAGGGAACATTGGCTGATTTTCACAAATTTCAGCACCATTGACTCACTTCAGGGTCAGCTATATCAGGTTCCATTGAAAACTTGACCTGGAACTTTGAGGGACAAATTAGTGCTAGAGAATACATTTGCCTAAAAAAATTGAGAAAACATCATGAATTCTTTACACTGATATACAAACACCGCCTTTTGATATTGCTAGACTGAAGGAAGACTCATTTTTCCTTCGATTTGTCAAATGTTCATCCAATTTCTATGCAGCAGCATACATTATTGCATTAGCTACAATAGGACATCATCCAATTATAAAAGGTCACACATGATAAATAATTCTAGAAACTCTGAACAACCAGATATCAAGTTTTACTGCATGTTTTATTACATTTTGCTGTGTTGTCAGGATTCATCTGATTTTTTTGGATGAGAAGGGTAAACTAAAAAGTTGTAGCGGAAGATAACTTTTAAGACAAAGATGTAATTGGCAACATCTTTAATTTAGATTATCATATATTTAACATTAATGTAGTTAAAATAATTCGTCAATACTCTCAATAATTGTCAACTCTCCATTAAACTTAAAGCCACAACATGCAAGAAAAGCATTAATTTTCTAGATCACAGTGTTTAAATTGATACAAGATACTACATAGAAATCCTCATATAAAGTGGAAAATCTCGCTTGCCAGAAATACCTTTATGTCTGTACCCTGAAATGATAGCTAATGTTAACGTTCAACATGAACACTGTGTCTAATTCTGGGAACGATGGTTCAAGAAAGATGAGGGCACTTTAAAACATATAGGAAAGATTTATGGCAATGGTTCTGATGATGAAAGGATTCAGTTATTTGGATCGATCGATGAACCTGAGGCTGTTCTCCTTAGAGAAGGTTAAGGAGCTATTTGAAAGAGGCATTAAAAATTATTCGGAGTCTTGATAGAATAGAGATGAAACTGTTCCCATTGATTGAATTGGGAACCAGGGGACAAGGGGTTTAAGGTGATTGACAAAATAGGACAACATGAGGAAACACTTGTTATGCAACCAATGGTTTGGATCTGGAATGCATTGCCTAAACATGTGGTAAAGGCAATTACAGTATTGGCTTTTAAAAGTGAATTGGTTAAGCATCTGAACACAAAATAAGGTAGTGTTACAGGGGAAAGGCTGGGGAGTGGGACTAGATAAGTAGTTCTTATAAAGATCCAATACAGATAGAACAAAGTAAATGGGCTCCTTCTGTGCTGCAACCATTCTATGATTTTAAAAAAACTGCAAAACTATGTTGCAGGTGGACATAGCAGACAGATCTATCCCTTTATGATGAAGAAGCCATGGTCTTGAGGTACTCTGAGGAAGGGTCATGGACCTGAAATGTTAACTCTGATTTTTCTTCACAGATGCTGCCAGACCTGTTGAACTTTAACAGCAACTTCTGTTTTTGGTCTTGAGGTACTCGGTGACTTATTTATCAGTGAGACTATTTAAAGCCATTTAGTGCATGTTTCAGAATAAATGATCCTTTCCTGAGGAAAACCTCTCTTTCCAAGTTGTACCATACAGCCAAAACTCTCTCAGATCATGCCCAGCTATGTGAAATTTGCCGTCATAACTAGCCAGTGCTGCTGTTTTAGTCCTCACATGACTGGCATCCATGTATTTATCCATGGGGGTGGCCTATCAGACAATTAAGCTCCTGATGTCAGTGCAAGGCTCCTGTGGATGAACCCCTGAGATTGTTCTGAAAGGCCATAAATTACCACTTTTCCAATAAATGCAGAGTGGATAAAGAGGACCATGTGGAAATAAATTTTCACAGCTTCCACTTGCAGGAAAATACATGATGGCCACTTCAAGTTGCAAAACCAAACATACTATGGCATGCAGAAAATTCAAAGATCACATCCCTCAATGCCACTGAAATGGCAAGAGGATGTAGCTAAATTGATGATACATAGAGTTCATCCTGGACATCTTCTGGAAGTCTCAAAGAGCATCAAATCCAAATCAAGTACATAAGTACAGTAGACAATGTTATAATGTAAAGCTATCTTCCCTGCCCACTTATAACAAAAATTTTGGAACAAGCTTCTCTTGGGCAGTCAGAGCCATTGATATAAGTGGTTAGAATTTTTCAAAAGATAGTTCTCCTGTGAGCTGTCAATGCAGCCAAATGCCAACATTAGATTTGGCATCTAATTCAAAATATCGGCTCATCTCTCAGAGCAGCCAACCCAATCAATGGACCAGCAGCTCAGCAGCTGTGGAAGCACACCGATAGTAGTGGCCAGTGTAGAGTCTGCAGGATAAACAAGAGGGTGCTTCTATGTGAAGGTATCCTCTAAGATCCAGGAGTAGTGGGAATAAAGTGGCAACATTAGTCTGTGGGGGATCAACCATTTTACCAGAAAGTGTCCATAAACAAAGGACACCCACTACCCAGTAATCCAGTGGGAGGCCATCATGGTTTATCAGAAAACCTGACCGACTAAAGATAATATTGAAAAACTGAATGCCATTGGGCTCTCAGTCTTATTTCCGCATTTAAAGTTCCAACCAACTCCATTACATTGATTTCACATGCAACTTCCAATCTCAGTTAAGTCCAGAAGTAGATGAGTTGAAAACAGTTTTGGGTAAGGAGGTAGATTTTTCACACTTTAACCCCCTTCAACCAACTCAAATCTGCTTTTATTTTAGGTTAACTCAAGGTTTACTTCATTAATAAGATACAGCCTGTACAAAAAAGGACAGGCTGATCCAGACATGAAATTGAAGATTACCTCTACTATCTCAATCTCAGGCTCACAAGAATGGTGATCCAATCCAATAACACCCCAGAAAGATAGAATACCTACGTTGTGTCAGTTTCCAAGTAAATTTTTCCCACAGTGGCATTGCAAATCTTAATGCAGGTAAACTTATATAAACATGTATACTTATTTATTTACATAAATATGTATATTTATTTTCCCTCCTATAAATGCTATGATAACGAAATGCATTTGAGCTATACAAACATTGTAAATCCTTTTCTTTAAAGCATCTTCAAGGAATAGAATCTATTGCAACTCTAGGTAACATGGAAAATGGATAACAGAGAACATTAAATATTCTCATGAGTGGCAGAAAGGAAATGCACAGAAATAATTTGAAATGACATTAATCTTCATTCACATCTACCAATTGCATGCATTACATTACACCTGGGCATTACTGATATTGTTTGCCAATAAAACACTTCAGTTAGACTAGGAAGCTAGTGTGACTTGGGCAGAAAAAAACAGGGTAGCTTTAAAAGTTTGCTATAAAATTCCAAGTGTAATAACAATGCTCATTGTAAGTTTGAAAGAAGTGAAACCTGCAATAAGAAGAGGTTGAAAAAAACGAAGATTGTTTTCCTTGGAACAAAGAAGGTTAAGCAATTCCTGATACAAGTTTTTAGAATGATAAGCAATTTTGAAGGGTAGGTAGAGAAAAAGCATCACCTCACATGAGTAGTCTGATAATCAGAGATGATAGAGTTAAACTCAGCGACAAGAGATTAAGAGGGGAGGTGAGAAGAAATAGTTACACCCAGAAATTTATCAGTATTTGGAATTCTTGATCTGTAAAACTTGGCAGATCCAGCCGGTTTGGGAATAGTCAAAACAAATAAGTACATCCCAGAATTGTATACATATATTTCTATGAATTTAAAATATGTCTTGAGCAAACAATCAAGGCTGTGAATTACTGAAGTTGATAAATAACTTTAAAAGGGACTTGGAGAAGTACTTGAGGATGAGGATAAAGGGACTTATAGGGTTATGACCAAAAGGGAAAGCTATAAGACTAAACCTGATTACTCTTTCAAGGATTCCCAAATGGCCTCCTTTTATGCTCTAAGAATCTAGTATTGTGTAATAATCCCACAGTGAGGACAGATTGCACATATGGCAGAGTAATATATAAATGTTGCCAAAGAAGGACACTAAGTCAAATCTTTTGCACTTGCCCTCATCAAAATGTCTTTGAAAGAGCCTATGGTTACAAACTTTGGTTCTAAAAGGTCCTCAATCTTTCTCAGATTATCCTGGAAGAGAAAGATATCCCAAAAAAGTTGAGGAACAGGTGAAACTAGCAGACTCATGCAGCTACATTGTAGTTTCCATGAGTAGTCTCCACTAACAAGATACTGCTGTCAAACCAAATAGACTCTTTACCTACTACATAATATCTGGTTTAAGAATTTCAGCACCGGTGTAACGACAGGTATGTTTTTCACATCCCAGTGACTGGCAGACCATATCAAACAACATTCTCTTTGGCTATCCGTAATGGGCAGCATGCTGGCTGTGCTCACCCAGCCCAAATTGCAAACCTCAGAGCACTGTGTCCATCATTAGGTGTGATTCAGCTATTGGACAATATTTACTAAAAAGTCATGACTATGCTTAAAATTTCAGTCAGTGTTATTCTTTTGTGCACACTGGAAACTACATATATTCACTCAAAGGACTTTGAAAATAAAAGAAATTTGTCCATACATTGAACTTTTCACATTGAGGGCATGGAGACTACCAATCCCTGACACATTCTCCAGGGCAATGGCCTGACCAATGAGAGTCTGCATGTCTGCTACAAATTAAATCAGCTATCTAAGATTGACAGTTAATAGTTGTTGTTGTATCTCTTTGCCAATCATGGCCAAACCAATCAGTATCCTTTCCAAAATAAAAATAGAAATGGCTGGAAAAAACAGAGAGAAAATGAGAGTGAGAGTGAGTGGGAATGAGAGAGAGACAGCAGGAGTGAGTGTGAATGTGAATGAGAGAGAGAATGAGAGAGTGTGAGAGAGACTGAGCAGCGATTGCACAGAAAGCAATGTGTAATGGTCAGTCTGGGAGAATTAATAGCTGGGGATTAGGGTAAAGGCATAGGAGAAGGTGCTCAGGCCCTAAAATTATTGAACTTGATATTGAGTCCTGAAGGCTGCAGGGTCCCCAGGTGGAAAATGAGATGCTGTTCTTCCAGCTTGTGCTTAGCTTCACAGGAGCACTGCAGCAAGCCCAAGACAGATGTTGGCCAGGGAATTCAGTGGTGTGTTGTAGTGGCAGGCAACTGGAAGCTTAGGGTCTTTTTTTGCGAACGGAATCTAGGTATTCTGCAAGGTGATCACCCCGTCTGTGTTTTGTCTTCCAAGTGTGGAGGAGACCACATGGTGAACAGCGAATACAGTGGACTACATTGAGTGAAGTGCAGGAAAATCACTGCTTATCTTGAAGGCATGTCTGGGCCTTGTATAGTGAGGAGGGAGGAAGTAAACAGGCAGGTGTTACACCTTCTGTGATTGTATGGGTAGGTGATGGGAGTGGAGGACAAGTGGACCAGAGTGTCCCAGAGGGAATTGTCCCTGCAGAAGGATGACAAAGGAGGGGAGGGGAATAGGCATCTAGCGGTAACATTGCACTGGAGGTGGTGGAAATGGCAGCTAATGATCTTTTGAATAAGGATGCTGGTGGGGTGGTAAGTGAGTTCTGGGGGACCTAATCGCAGTTGTATGAGGGAAGGGATGGAATGAGGGCCAAAGTGCGGGAGGTGGGTTGGACACAGCTGAGGGCCCTGTCAACCTGAATAATTTACTCTTGAATTTGTAGGTTTTGTGCTTTAACAGTTTAATCAAAATTGAACATGGGATTTCATTTTAAAATTCTTGCATACTTTCTTAGCAGATCTGCAACATACATCTTGTAACAGTGAATGCATTGTTCAGCATGAGACAAAGCAGATGCACATGTTCATCAGAGATTACCACATGTGTATCAGCATAACTTTTAAAATATAATGCCCCTGAGTGCAGTGGTCAGTGAAATGGATGACATGATCAGGAATTCTGCCTTGGATTTCAGCCCACTTGATTTAGCAGCCTTTTTGATGTGCTGTTCATTAAAATTAATTAACACAGACAATACTTAAAGGGAAGTTAAAAGCCAGGTAGAATAATCATGTGGTTCAACTGATATTGTAAACTGCTAAACCAGACCCCTCAATGTTTAGGGTAACTGAATCATGCAGCATATTGACAGCAACAAACGTATGTTGTTCTATCTTATTGTTATATTATTTTTTTGCCACACATTGTTCACTTCTTGAAAGATATGATTCAGCGTCAACGAAGAAAATAAAGCCCTGCAATGATATAGAGCCCTGGTGCCCTTAGGAAATTGACATGCAAGTGCACCATCACAATACATTAAAGATTACATGAACAGTGCCTTATACGGTGACAAATTCTAAAGTATTCTCAGTTGTTCCGCATAAGACATCATGGATTCCACCAACACACAACGCAGCATGAACTAATTAAAAAATCTCTTTGAATTTATCAAAATCTTGACAGGGATAATCTTAGCTCAGCACATCACTATATTGAAGCAAAATACTTTTATTAGTCACAAAATCCTCCTAAAGGCAAATGGATAAGGCAATCCAATTCATTTTTATATTATCATGGAGTTGGTTTACTAATGTACAACATACACAATAAAAGTAGCTATTAAATGCATCTGGTGGTGAATGATGGTGTATGTTTTTATTATCACCTCATCTGATATTTTGCTGAGTAAGTTGTATGCACACCAGAGCAGAGGAGTTGATATTTGAGAGCAGGATAAGCTATGCTGATGACCAGTGAATTAACATTAATCTTCTTCTATTTCAGAGGATACTGGATACAGTGATATAAATGGCACACATCTCTTTTACTGATAAAATACAACTGGTAAATGTACTGCGTGCACAACTGCAAAAATCATTAATGTTAACACTAAATGTGTACTGTAAAAAGAGTAACATAAATTGGCACCAACACAAAAATCCATATACATTTTGAAAATGACACAACTACTTCACAGTACTAAGTGAAAAGAATCCTTGAGTAATAGAAGCCACATGGTGTTTAAAAAATAAATCTGAAATATTCAGGGAGCATTTTGTGGAAAAGAAGTATTTCAGCCATAATGTGCAATCTACCTTCAGGACCTAAGTGATATTTAGAGTGGAAGACTATGAAACAATCATTGATTGCAGTCAAACTCTGTCCTGAAAAATGCTTAGAAGTGTTTCATGTTGCAAGTAATCCCATCTCTTTCACAACAATTTATTTTCTGTATAGTGAATGTGTAAATAACAGTCTCAGAGACAATAATAATTCATAATTGTATATACTTTACATGTCCAGCATATAAACTATTCATATTTTTTGACAACTTTTTAAAAATTGCTCTGCTCACCTCGGTATGATGTCCCAATGTTGATTGCTTCTGAGGTCACATATGACTCAGTGCACTGTCGTTTTCTTTCAAACTGTTGTGGTGTTTGTAAAGTACGTAAGGCAGCAATATGCCTGCTACAGATAGAAGTTTATCTTAGGAGTGGTAATCAGTAATGTTATCAAAAAGGAAAATTCTAAGAAGCAATTAAGAAGTTGGTAACAAACAAGCTTTCTGGTATGCTGCCATTCCAACACTCCATTACTGTACAGGATTGGAGTATAAGCTTTATTTTTTCACCTATTTCCTGCGGTACAGTGGAGCTAACTCTGGAACTGTTAAACAAGTTCTAAATTAACAGTATGCTACGTTTGTATAATGTTTCCAGCATGCTATCAGCTGCATGTCATTAATCAAACATCTGTTTTTCGTTTTTAACCGGATCTTATGTTTTTCTCTTTTACCTAGAATGCTCAGGAAAATCATAATAATTATTGCAAACATTACTCTTTCATAGATTTTAGAACTAAATACATATATGCAAAGACATACCTTCATTATTTGTCCTGGAGCTGGCTGCTAAAATACCTGGAGTTCAATACTGCGGACACAATTCATTGAAGCAGCAAGATGTGGGTAACCCCAGTGTGAGGCTTTCCTTCCAAAGCAGTGTCTTTTAATAGTGAGATACTTTGGAAAATCGAGAGCTATAATGTTGTATCCCTACACCAATTGCTGCACTCACTTTTAGAGAACCTCAGTTGCCAAATTTATCTCATCATGTTTACCAAGGCAGCTCTCATCGTAGTTATACAGGATTAGCTATTTTAAAATGTGTATGTAGTTCCCCTGCTGGAGTACTGGGTAAGGGCTCTAGCTGGTGTACTGAGCTGACAGATCAAGTTCAGTGCATTTGAAACACCAAAGGAACTATAAAAGCCTTTTGTGCCTCTAAAGTAAGATTACCACTTCCAATTGTTATCTAGTTCTTGGACAGGCTTAGTTGTGATTACCCATCAAAGTTGTTTCATCTAATAACATTTACTCTAGGGTTGCTAGCACTGGTTAGTTGTTATTTTATATTCTTCACATGACCTCCTACTTTCACCTAATTCACCCCATCCAAGCCTCCATCATTTGCTGCCCTCCATGTCTATCCTATGGCCCACTGACTTTCCACACCAAATGGAAAACTAAAGATCCTTTGTTACCCATTTAATAATTCTGAAGCAGGGACACTGGACTCGAAATATTAACTCTGTTTTCTCTTCAAGATGCTGTCACATCTGCAAAGTTTCTCCAGCAATGTCTGTTTCTGTTTGTTTCAGATCTCCAGCATCTGCAAATTTTTGTTTTATTTATTAAAACTTATCAGTGTTACTGTGCAGTATTTGCCGAGGAAATAGCACAGGAGGATTCACACAACATCAGCATTGGTACAGGCAGGTGTCCACAACAGCCCCACAGTCCTTTCATGTCTCTTTTAAGGCATTAACCAAGGCAATTAAGAGGTAGGAGATACTATTTCAGGAGTGCAGTGAAAAAACTGTCCAGATACATCAAAAAGTCCAGGATGGAGGTAGCTTTGGAGGTCAGCAGTAGAGAGGTGATCAGGAAGAAGTGGGTCCAATATTATATGAGTTTCAATGACTTGATAGAATCTGGAAAGATGAACGGCATGCAACATCTAAATAACAAGCCTCCATCTCTGTATGCAGATTTGTATGCAATTAAGCAGACTGAATGTCCATTGTTAAAGCAAGTGATCAAATAAAACACTGAAAAGTCAACTGCCTCCACATATGCGGCGGAATTGAGAAGAAGGCATCACTGAGGATGTGACAGCTCCTGTCAATATCACGCTGGAACAGATGAGGGAGTTCAGTCTACTCATACATCATTGTTTCCAATTCCTGCAGAAAAAGAGAGCTCACAATAGTCATGCGAGGTCTCAAACTAATGTGGTCTGATCAACCTGACACAAATAGAGGAGGCAGAATTAGAGATTCAAGGGGTTCAGTTTAGTAGACTCTCAGTTGTGTTGAATTTGGAGCAGGATCATTTTGTAGTTTTATCTTCAGGTGAAGGTAATGAAGGAAATTCCTGTCCAATGCACAGAGTCGCTTTTTGGCCATTGTCATTGGTTATGCTGAGGCACCTGCTGAGTATCTCAAATTTTCCTCATTGCTTTGTTGTGTTTCCCATATGGCCTGCAGTGGAGGGGGTGTTGATTGATCTGACATAGTCTTTGCAAGGTCCTGAACAGGAGATGACGCCATATAAGTGGCATTTCCCATTACATGCCCGTATCACCGATCAGCACAATGAACTCAACCTTGATTAGGCCTAAACCTAGTTTAGATCATATATCACTGGGTGACCAATATAAAGCAAATAAGTAGGAGTAGGGCAGTGAGGGTTGAGGTAACTGTTGGAAGTTCTCTTTGGATGAAAGAGGACAGATACTGCTATCTTTGCAGGGTGAAAGCACAGGGTGTCGGGTATCACAAACAAGGGGAGCTTCTTTGAAGCATCAAAAGGCAGATAAATTCCTGATTATTGAAGATCTTTGAAAAATTATGGGGCCATGGCGTATAGTAGAAGAGTCTGTGTGGTGCATGTACTCTGTTATGACTTGATTTGAGCATGGGTTCCTCCATTGAGAGAATGGCCAACCTCTCGGACAGCCACATGGAGCACCAATCTGAGTGGGGGGTGCAGGAGTAAAATCATTGACACACAGAAAACAAAAGAGTGAGCAACACTCTGTAGCATCAACGTTTCAGCGTCGCTTTTGGGCAAAGAAGTTTGGAGTGGGTGTCATGAGCGTCCCAGCTAATCAAAGAGATTGAGTACAGGGCCATTCCTCAGGGAGCAGCAATGTCATTCCTCCCCAACTGGGTCTTTCTGACTCAAGATATTTCTATGTCTTAAGGTCCTGTGACAGAAGCTGCCTCTGGAATGAAGCATGTTCAGTTGTATAAGGAGGAGCCCCATGAGCACGTCCAGAACAAGGATAGAAAGTATGGGCATCTCAGCCAGATACAGATATCATGTAACAGCTTATTTCCACCTAATTCTTACTCTCAGGGGAAGAAACTTTTAGAAGTGAATATGAATGCAAGGTGCCACATCCTTAGTTAGGCTTGATGAGTCACCTATGTGAGGTTTTTTTTTAATTATTAACCTATTTTTCCTAACCAACCAGTTCAGGAATGTTATTGTACACCTCTGGAGCAAGTGGGATTTCAACGTGGGCCTCCTTGTCCAGGGGTAGGAACAGTGCAACCGTGCCACAAGACAGCCCCCCAAAAGTTAAGGCTTTCCATATTAATTGGTCATTACATTGACCTGTAGGAGAAATAATTATGAAATCAAAATTTGGAATCATTCAAGTTTGATATCAAAAGTGAGATGAGGGTTAAAAGGATGGAAGGAGATTCTTGGACTGGTGCCAATGTTTGATTGGGAGACTGGTGGCAGCGAACACCCCATTCTCAGTGTATTTGAGTGTTGATGGGATTTTTCAAATGTGGATCCTTGTTGGATAACTTATATTCTGAATGTTTCTGAGTAAGTTGAGTTATAAAGTCATCTGTCATAGGACAGGGAGCTGCTCAGGTGAAGTAAAAACAGAAAGTAAAGCCTAGCAGGTCTGACAGCATCTGTGAAAAGAAATCAGAGTTAACCTTTCAGGTCCAGTGACCCTTCCTCAGAACGGATGGTAGCTAGGAATTATTCTACATATAAACCAACATTTTTCTATCAGTTCTGTGGAAGGGTCACTGGACCTGAAATGTTAACTCTGATTTCTCTTCACAATCTGCCAATCCTGCTGAGCTTTTCCAGCAACTTCTGTTTTTGTTTCTGATTTACAGCATCTGCAGTTCTTTAGGTTTGTAAATACAGAAAGTGCGAGAGAAACTCAGCAGTCTGTAAGCATCATGGAGAGAGAAACAGAGTGAGCAGGCTGAATCTTATATTTTTTCAGTTAAGTAGTCTAAATACCCTTTCTAAATCAGCACTGCTCCATCCTCAGTGCACACTGGAGACCAATATCGTGTCATTGTCCTCTAGGGAAATATCTCATGTAAGCAAGTAATTGAATAATTCTAAACATTAACCTTTTTTTTTTACAGCTACCAAAAAGGAACACAAATAAAACCATAGAGTCTGAATTTTTCCCCAACAATTTAAACTAAATGAACTATTCTGCAGCCCACGGTAGTCTGTTGTACCCAGCTCTCATCTACTGAATGTGGGAGTCAATGTGGTCTTGTTGGGCTTGTAGCACCCAATGAAGCTAAGTTCTGTCATGCACAAGGAGAGCTTCCTCCTGCCCAACATACTCCTCCTCTTTTCAGAAGACTGCTCCCACTCCCCAGTTCGTTAACTTCTAGAACATTGCCTCATTGCTTGTTCCAATTCTATAGAGCACAGCATGCCAGAATGATATGGCACATTCAGACTATATTGAAATTGCACCCCAGTCCCCAATACTGCTCTCCATCACTGTACTTCATATTATGAAGCCTAAACTAATGCCTCTCATCTTGTACATTCATCCAGCTTTTTATATGTTCCAGTGACCTCCCCTGTTCGACTTACAATGGTCACACTTGTCCATTCACAATCCTCTTCCAGTAAATATTCAACTTTAGTACTTAATTTTGACAATTGTCATTCTGGACCAATGGGCTTATACTGACTACCAGAACTAATGTGGCCATTACCAGCCAAACTGGTAATTGCAGCATTTTGATCCTATGGCTGTACAAAATTTGGGTACGAGGGGTTCCTGGCTTCTCATTATTTTCTTTAACTTCTTCAGAATCTGCAAATTTGTGATCCATGCCAAGCAATCTTGAAGAAAATACCCACACAGTTTGGTTCCCATGTTATACAATTATTACACTTCCATCTTTACTGATTATATTACCTGAGTTATGCTAAATTTAAAAAGGTCATATGGAGTGATATACATCAATTGAAAGCAGTTCAGAGAAGATCTGTTTCTGGGATGAAAGGTTGTCTTCTGATGCAAGGTTAAATGGCTTGGGACTATACTCATTGGGATTGAGAAGAATGAAAGAATGAATCCTAAGATTTTGAGGCAGCTTGACATGATCAACGTTAAGAGGCCTGTTTCTCCTCATTGGACAATTGAGAACAAGGGGGCACAGTTTAATATAAAGGGTCTCTCATTTGGGAAGAAGAGGAAGAATTCCCTCTCTCAGAGGATTGATAGTCATTAGGATCCGCTTCCAAAAGAAAATGTGGAGGATGGGTCATCGAATCTATTCAAGGCTGAGTTAGATGAATTTTTGGTTGATAATGGAGGTCAACTATTGCGAGTCAGGTAGGAAAGTGGAGTTATAGTCAGCATTAGATCTGGCACAGGTGGGACTTGAACTCGGCCTCTCAGTCCAGGGGTAGGGACACTACCTCTGTGGCACAGAGAGCCCCCGTTGTAGAATTTATGCAATGAGTGGCAATGAGAAGGATCTCTTTCGAATGGCTGAAGGGTCATTAATCAGAGGACAGAGGTTTAAGGTGATTATCGAAGGAACATGAGGAAACATTTCTTACACAGCCAGCTATTGTGATTTGCATTACACTGTATAAAAAGGTGGGGGAATCAGATTCCATAGCTTTGTTCAAAAAAAAATTAAATAAATACTCAAGGAGGGGAAGAAAGGGGCTATGAAGAAAGAGCAACAAAGTGGGATTAATTGAATAGATCCAGAAAAATAAAACTACACTTGCATGATGGGCCAAATAGACTCCTTCTATGTGGTATCACTCCT